TTCCGTTAAATGGCCATAACTTGAGCTAGGGACCTCTAAATTAAATTTTGGGCATACGCTCAAGTCCCAAATCACGATACAGACCTACCAGAACTGTCAAAATACTGATCTGGGTCTGTTTGCTAAAAATATTGACCAAAGTCAACTTAATTGAGTTTTAAAGCTCTATTTCACATTTTAATCAATTTTTTCATATAAAAACTTTTCGGAAAATTATTCGGACTGCGCACGCAAGTCAAGAAATGATGAATAGTACTTTTCGAGGTCATAGAATACAGAAATGAATGTTTAAATTAAAGATGTTATTTTGGGATATCACAATTTCTAACTCTTCCCTCTAATATGGAAACTGTTTAGATGGCATCAACAACTGATGGCAAGAAGAGATAGAGAATAATAGATAAAGCTTCAAACTCCATAAATATTTTCTGGAGTTTGAACTTCATATTTGAAACTCTAGGAATTTTTCAAGTGTATTGGAGTTTCACTTGTAGCAGTTTCAAACTCCAACACACTTTGCAGAAGTTTTCCGTAATTTAGCTAGGGATATTTTGTTCAAGTTTTATTTTCGTATTAAGAAGAGGCAATTTCTCAATTACATTTCAAATTGTGGCGAAATATTAACGAAGACCAAAAACTGGCCATTCGACGCCATTTTTCCATTACCAAGTTAGGTATGCATTTCCTCAGCCCCCGAATATTATGGGTTGGACTGCCACTCCAGCAACAGTAGAAATAGCATCCAATTGCCGCATTTCAATCGTGTCTTTACAAAATAACCACCATCTTGGATTGGCTATTTTTCGATTGCAGGGACTGAAGTGGCGCCCTTTCTAAGCCGACTTCTCTACCGTCACTATGTAGGGATAAGGCCTGTGTGCATACTAACCTTTCCAAAGCCCACTTGTGAGAATATACTAGGATTGTTGTTGATATACTGACTGAAAGTGGCTATTTGTGATTTTTCCCCAGCAACACCGAAGGTATTAACATAATACTAGTCATTAACTCCGAGAACTCATGAAAATAACTCCGAGAACAATTCAGTAGTTAAAAAGCTATAATTTGAATCGTAATTAATTAAAGGCCACTCTCTATAATTTGATAGTTTCATAATTTTCTTCTCTTGCTTGAGTTGTCAAGAGGATGAGGAAAGTAATAAAACTAGAGAGAATTATTTTCTTTTGGTCTCACGAATTCACTTCATTAAGACAGCAAAGTAAAACAAATTCTATTTACATTTTTTATTACATCCAAACCAAACAAAGAAAGCAACAATAATTTCACCCAAGACAACAAAGCCAAGACAACAAACTTGGTATGTTTTTCCAAAGGGCGGGCCCAAACATATATAGTCTAATCTAATTTGAAGAGAATATCTTTTTCCCTTTCTTTTTTTTTTTCAATAAACAAACTAATCGTGGAATTTACGTTGGCCAAGACTTAAAAGTAGACGACTTTTTGGTTTACGTTTAGGGGAAGTTGAAATCAATCTTTCTCTAGTTGAAAAGTCTTATTCACTTTTTGGAAGGAGCTCTCAATGCCGAGAATTATTTACCAGTCTAGGTTCATTTGAGTTCAGCTTCCTTCTTTCTCACCCTCACTACTAAAAATATATAAATTAGCGACAGACAAATTCTGTAGCTAAATAGTAAGATCTGTCACTAATCCTATTTAGCGACTTAGCGATGAGTAGCAGTAAATTATCAAAAAATTCTATTAATTACAAGCGATTTAGCGACAGATTAGCAACGAGTAGTAACTAATTTCAAATTTTTAGTAGTGCTTTAAGCCTTCTAGACACTTGTAAAGGAAATTAAAAAACAAGTTGATATAAAAAAGAAAGAAGAGAATTTCGACCATCTTTCTTATTCACGTACGTTTTATAAAAACTCGACATTATCATTTCTTCATGATATGCATATTAGAGAATGAAATACATAAAAGGAATAAAGTAAGCTCCAAACTAAGAACTTTAATTTTAAAAAAGAAGTGTTGGAGAGCTAAACNGCCAAAAATGTATCAATTACACGACTGTAATTCAATACTCTTCGGTACTCCTACTACAACTATTTGATTTACAAGTTACTCTAACTTGTAAAGCAAACAATCACTCCAACTCACTAATTATTTATGACAGTTGATTACAACTCAATTTCGTAAAACACATTAACTAGACTCACTCAAGAAGAATACACTGCAAGTACTCGACTAGAGTAAACACATATGACTCTTCAGTTGATGTGTAAAAAGATAATTACATAAATCCAAAGTAGATAGTATCTAAGCGCATCAACTTGAGATCTTCTAGGAGTCCTATTCATAGTCAGTTTCTCCTTTTATAAGACTCCTATTATTCCAAGGATTCTACAAACTTTGGGACTCTTGTCTCTGACTGAATTATCCGTATCTTCTTGAGAAACAACCATTATCACATGTAACAGCCTTCTTCCACCAAACTCGGACCTGGGTAACTTTGAGATAAAGTTATTATCTTGTATAGACGTACAATCATCAACTTGAGGAGCTGGTCATTTATCCTGAGGAGCTGGTTCTTTAGAACAGTTAAGCAGCTACATTGTGGACCTAGTTCTTTGAATTATTGTATTTAGACATACTTTGTTAATCATTAAAACATCAACAAATTCCCCCTTTTTGATGATGGCAAACTTTGATCGGTCAAAAAACCGACCAAACAACTGACCAAAGTTGGTCGGTTTTTTAAAATATTTTATTTTTTAATTTTGTTTTATGAAACCGACCAACTTTGGTCGGTTTTCTTTGGCGCAAAAATGCGGTAAACTATTTTTGAGTCCCGCAAAATTTACTTTCTAAGAAACCGACCAACTTTGGTCGGTTTTTCAATCAAAATAAATAAAAATTAATATTAAAAAACAGACCAAAATTGGTCGGTTAATTCGTCCGATTATTTTAAAAAACTGACCAACTTTGGTCGGTATTTTTATTTTTTAATAAAACCAACCAACTTTGGTCGGTTATTTTTGTGCGAAAATATAATTAAAGAGTATAAATCAAATAAAAGACAGTCTTAAAATAAAATGCACCAACAGTCTAGTGGTAGAATAGTATTCTGCCACAGTACAGACCCTGGTTCGATTCCCAGATGGTGAATCTTTTGATTACATAATTAAAATACCAACCAACTTTGGTCGGAAAAAACCGACCAACTTTGGTCCATTTTTTTGCAATATTTTGTTTTTAAATTTAATTGACCGACCACAGTTGGTCGGTAATTTCCGATCAACTTTGGTCGGTATGCCTTTCCGACCCCTAAAATATCGCCCACATGTAAAAGGTCACGGTTTGATCGGTTATTAGCCTTTACCGACCAAAGTTGATCGGTTTTTTTGGTCGATTTTTACCGGATTTTTAGTAATGTTTGTACATAGTAGAACCAGGTAATCACACCAAAGAACCAGATAATCACAACAAGTACTATTGACAGACATGTATTTCACAACCCACAACCTCCTAACCTTATCTTTCCCTTTTTGGCATCATCGGAAAAAAGAAGAAGAAGATGTTAGACAGATGAAGCACATATAACGTAAGATTCAAGGCCAACCAGGCTACAACACAAGCTTAAGAAATATCAAGGCAAACAGACTAGGCTGAAGATCAAATATTATATAAAGCAGTAAAGCAGAACAAGATGAGACATTAAGTAATGCCTAAATAAGTCTAGGACCTCGTCTTAACCATTAGAACAAAATAAACTAAGCATACTGCAAACTACTTAGACTAAGACCAAAAGAGAAAAAAGAAAGTAAGGCATCACTGGAATGGCAAAGCAAACTACAAACACTGGGAAGGAACATGTTCAAGGGTGAGAGATAGAGGGGGTCAATGCTTTCACAAGGGTGGCAATTTGTTGGGCATGAGCTTCCCTATCTCTTCTGAGCTCTTTCCTAAGTTGCCCGTTTTCCTTTTTCAGCTCATCATTATCTTCACGAAGTTTGGCATTCTCTTCAACAGCTAACTCCAACCTCTTATTGAGCTCTGCAGCCCTACTGCTCCCAGGAAGAATAGCAGATCTTGTGGGTCCTCTAGCCTTGATCTCCTCATAGACACACTTCTTGAGGATAACAACATCCAAAACATCATTGTGGTTTCTATACTTAAGCTCAGGTAAGGCAATGTTGAGCTTGTCAAACAACTCAGTCAACATGAAACCATAACGCATAGCATGCTTAGGCTTGGAATTATCTATAGCTCTTGCCATATGATGAATCATCAGGCTAGGGAGATTTATAGGTCGACCAGTGTCAAGCAGTTTCATTACAACTATGTCTAGCATAGTAGCTTCATGCCTTCTCTCAGACCTCTGAAAAATGCATGAATTGACAAACTGAAACAATAGCTTGTGGAAGGGAGTCATATCAGTCTTGTACACCTTCTAGGGAGCATCCAATTCAAACTTTTGAGAAACTTTTCTTGTGACCACAATGATAGTGTCAACATTATTGTCTATGGCTGGTCACTTTTTATTCAAGTAATTGTCAAATTCCAAAGACGAGATATTCAGAATCATCCCCAGCTACTCAGCATCAAACTTCATTTCAAATCCCCCTACATTACTCTTGACTACCTTCCCATCAAATTTAAAATTTGCATAGAACTCCACCACATCAGGAACATATACAGGAGGGAAAGCTTTGACAAACATGTGCTTCCACCCTTGTAGCTCAAGTTTTTCCACTAGTTGAGTCATCCCCTTCTCATCATTGTTGGCAAGAATCTTCCCATTTAGCACGTTTCTGTTGCTGAACTTTGTGAGTCGATCAACTGCAGTTGGCATATTCTTTCTTGTCTTTCCCTTACTGGCCCTTGCAGAAGGGGTAGCCGTTCTTGTAACTTTGGCAGCCTTTCTCTTTGGTGTAGAGGATTTAGCTGGCAAAGTAGATCCAGACTCATCTTCTCCATCAAGCTCAACGACAAGTTCCATAATTGAGACCTTCTTCCTTGGGTTCTTGGCACTTCTAGATAATGACCTGTTCATCAACAACATTTCTTTTACTCCTTATAAGAGGAGTCCTGGCAGGAGGAGCCACTCCTTTCCTCGTTGGGACTGCTAACTTTGTTGCTTTCACAGAAGTCTTCCTGGGTTTTTTCCCTACCTCAGACAATGGCAAGTTATCTTCATCACTGCTAACTTCTTCATCCCCAGTGAAAGGAGTTAACAGAGACCCAGGTTCTTGAGCCCTTGTCTCTTCACCAGTTGCTTCTGAATGGGCTATGACAGTGTTCCCAATGGTCATAGAGCCTTCATATTCCTCACTCAAATTCTGATTCTCTTTCTCACTCTCTTCATCCACTCCTTCACTCTCACTTACTTTTTCCTGATCCCTACCCTCACTCTCAGAGTTGTCCTCTTCTTTACTATGATTTTCTTCTTCTGCAGAATCATTTACTTGTTCACCTATCTTATCATCCGTATCACTTTCCTTCTTATTTCCAGATGCTCCCTCATTCTCACTCTTTTCTTCTTCATTGGCAATGTCTTCAGCATTATGCTCCTCCTGACTGTCCACATCTTCTTCTTCTTTTTCACCCCCATCATCTTCCTCATCCTCAGTCTAACTAAATGAAAGACCGTCAGATACCTCCTTTTGTTCAAGTTATTTACTTCCTTCCTCCTCAACCACAACCCCAACAGTAGTAGTATCTACCTCTTTTCTCGGATCACCTACACCCTTTTCTATAGTTAATTCCTCTACTTGTGGTTTCTCACTCGTGGGTGGGAGAGTATCTAAGGGTGCAACATCTATAGCAGATACCAAAATATCTAATTTCAAAGGGGTATGTTGTACCTGATTAGCATTGACTGGCACTGATTCCCCCTGAATCACAGATTCCTTGACCACTATGCCTACCTGAGTAGCAGTATCGGGCACTTTCTTGACAGATTTTCTTTGAGTAGCCTTGACCTTTGTTGACTTAGAGGTATTTTTCGCAGTAGGCTCAAGTGAATGGGTGGTTGGTTTTGGAAGTGGGGGTACAGTGGAGGTGGGGATGGTGAGAGCAGCATGAACATGGAATGATGATATAGGTACAGTGAAGGATATCGAAGGAGAAGGAGCAGGTATGGGTATGGGTTCACTTGATGGCTTGGCACTTTTCTTTGATTTGGGCTTCATGATTTTGGATTTTGCTTCAGCCTTGGATGATGATTTGGTTTTAGAGGGGGTTTGACTGGATTTAGGCATGGTGATCAGATAAGAGACTCGATGAAGAGAAGGGGGGAATTGGTTCTTGATATTTGCTTTTGATTTTTGCTTAGGGTTTGAGAGAAACAGTAAGGTCTGAGAAGCTGATCATAAGGGCCTTTTAAAGACGTTACTCCTGATTTGGTTGGAAGAGAGAAGGTGACCAAATTTGAGTTCTAACGGGACTCTTATAAGGGTTACTTTGACAGTTAGAATTTCAGGAGTAATTGAACTCTAATTGCACTAGGAATCCCCCTTACTCTTTGACAAAAAGACGACTGGAAGTGTTGACAACATAATAATAAGTCTGAGAATAACAATAATTTTAGGATATTAAGTCCCAATAAATTAATACAATATGGCACGTACCTGAGTCGAAGAACCAACTCCTTAGCAGCTCCTTACTTGTTTCTACAATAAAGCTTCAGCCCTTTATATTAGTAGGGGTGTACATGAGGCGGTTTGATTCGGTTTTTTATTAAACCAAAATCAAACCAACTATATCGGTTTACTAAATTTATAATCAAATCAAGCCAACATAAACTCGATTTTTTCGGTTTCGATTTTTGTCAGTTTTTTTGGTTTACTCGGTTTTTCGGTTTTTCTTTTTAGTTATATTATGCTTGAAAAAGAGATAAAATAATCACCAATTGTCCGCATGATTACTATTCATTAAAATAATATATGACGAATAGCAATTGTTCGTATGAATCATAATTTCAATACCTTCCATAATAGAAAATGACAACACACGTGTGATAAACCAAAATATCTACTTGGGGTTCTTTGACTTTAATTACAAACTTGAGCAGTTTGACTTTAATTACAAACTTTAAATATATATATATATATATNTCAAACCAAACAAACGAAACCACAAGTCGATTTTTTTCTTCGGTTTGACTTGGTTCGTCGGTTCGGTTTAGCTTGTACACCCCTACATATTAGTATCATACAATATAATTATCAGCCAGATTTTTCAAGCAAGTGTGTGAGCTTAATACAAGCACGAAGCTGAATTAAACACATTGTACTTACTTATCTTCATCTAATTATACCTTTTCTAGCCAATCACTGGGGTTCAACTTAGTTGGAAGAATTGATTAGACCTAGTTCTAGTTTGTTCCTTTCAAAGTGATCCCTACTCAGAGCTTTAGTAAAAATATCAGCAATTTGATCTTCAGTTTTACAAAAATTAATTGAGATATTTCCCTTTTTCAATATTGTCTCTGAGAAAGTTATGTCTAATGTAAATGTGCTTGGTTCTTTTATGCTGACATGGATTTTTAGCAATGTTTATGGCACTGGTATTATCACAAAAAATGGGAACACAATCAACAAATATACCATTGTCCCTTAGTTGTTATCTTATCCATAGCAACTGAGCACAACAAGATGCTGCTGCCGATATTCAGCCTCAGTTGTAGATAAGGCCACTAAGTTTTGCTTCTTGGTTATTCAAGACACCAAACAAGAACCTAGAAAGTGAGTTGTTCGTGAAGTGCTTTTCCTGTCAACATGAAAACCTGCATAGTCGGCATCAACATAACTAACTAGATCAAAGCTATATCCTCTGGGATATCATAGGCAGAGGTCAGGGGTTCCCTTGAGATAACTTGGTATCCTTTTGACAACCTTCAGGTGAGATTCCTTGGGATTTTCCTGAAATCTTGCACACAATCCCACACTGAATACAATATTAGGCCTGCTTGCTGTGAGGTACAATAGTGACTCAATCATTCCTCTATATAATTTTTGTTCAACACTTTTTCTTTCTTCATCAAGGTCCAACTTTGATGCAGTTGCAATGGGACTGTCAATGGACTTAGAGGAGTCCATGTTAAACTTCTTTAGTAGTTCCTTGATATATTTCTGCTGATGTATCATGGTTCCAGTAGGTGTTTGCTTGATTTGCAACCCCAGAAAGAAGTTCAATTCACCCATCATGCTCATTTCAAACTCATTTTCCATCATCTCAGCAAATTCCTTGCACATTGCTTCATTAGTAGCCCCAAAGATAATGTCATCCATATACACTTGCATAATCAGAATATTCTTCCCTCTGCTCCTTAGAAATAGAGTGTTGTCCACCTTTCCTCTTACAAAGTTGTTAGGTAAGAGGAACCTTGAGAATCTTTCATACCAAGCTCTTGGAGCCTATTTCAGTCCATATAGAGCTTTATCCAACTTGAACACATAGTCATGAAATTCTTCACTTTCAAATCCAAGAGGTTGTTTGACAAACACTTCCTCCTTCATATAACCATTCAAGAAGGTACTCTTTACATCCATCTGATATAAGGTGAACTCCATGTGGGCAGCAAAGTCTATCAGCATTCTTATAACTTCCATTCTAGGTACATGTGTAAATGTCTCATCATAGTCAATGCCCTCATCTTGATTGTATCCCTGAACCACCAGTTTAGCCTTGTTCCTTGTGATATTTTCTTGTTCATCCAGCTTGTTTCTGAACACCCATATGGTACATATGATAGTTCTGTTCTTGGATCTCTATACCAAGTGCCAGACATTGCTTCTCTCAAACTGATTCATCTCCTCTTGCATGGCCATGATCCAGCCTAGATACTTTAGAGCTTCTTTGATGGTCTTAGATTCAACCTGTGAGAGGAATGCTATGAGTGCACATAGATTTCTTAGAGAAGACCTGGTTTGCACTCATGCATCTTGATCAGGGATGATATTCTCAAGAGGATATGAACTTTGATGCTTCCATGATCTTATCTGTATACCCAGAGAAGATTCACCCGAGGAGTGACCCAAAGGAACATGTTCAGTGGATGTGGCTTCATCAGTCTGGTTAGTAGTTAGAGTAGTTCTTTCTTCTTCTTATTCCTCATGATCACTGTCAATTTCCTTATGGTCTTCGGATCCATTTTTATACTGAGGTTCAGATTCCTTTGTAACTTCATCACCGATGAGTCCTATGTCATAATCTTCATCCTGCAGACCTTTCTCAGCCAAATTATTAGATTCAATAAAGATAACATGAATATTTTCTTCCATACACATAGTTTTTTTATTAAAGACTTTATAGGTCTTACTATGTGGAGAGTAACCCAAGTAAATTCCCTCATCACTTCTGTCATCAAACTTACCTAGAGCTTCTTTTCCATTATTATGCACAAAATATTTGCACCCAAAGGCTGTCAAGTGAGTGATGTTGGGTTTTCTTCCTCGAAGTAACTCATAGAGTGTTTTCTCAAGAATGGGTCTGACCATGAATATATTTAGCAGGTAACAGGTAGTATTGACTGCCTCATCCCAGAAACTCTTAGACACTCCACTAGGGATGAATCAAATCTCTTTTTGCCCAAAAGGGAGGATTAGAAGCTATTTTCTTATTAACCTTAACCACTTAGTATGGACAAGAGGATTGACCTTTGGCTCCTCTTCCTTATTCACCCTTTTAGCAATACCAAAGGTGCTTCTAAACTGAGCATGAATTAAGGCAGGACAAGTGTCTCTAAAGTGTCCTACCTTTCCAAAATGAGTGCACATGTTATTATCGGAAATTCCTACATATTTTGGGTCAAACTTAGGAACATGTTTTCTGTAGCCATCATTCCGATCACTTCTTCCTTTATTTCGGATTCTTCAATCGCCATCAATGTCATTTAGATGTTTTCATCTCCAAAGTCAGCTTCTAAGGTCCTCCATATATCATGAGCAGAGATGCAAGAGGACACTCTGATTCTGGACAAGCTTCTGTAAAGCAGGTCCTTTGCTTTAGCATTTTTCTGAACTAGCTGACGATCTTCCTCATCGTATTCCTCTTCTCTTTTGTTGCACTTGTTACCTTCACTATCCATTTTGATTGGAAGAATTAGTCCATGACTGATAATTACCCATAGGTCAAAGTTAGTAGCCTGAAGAAATGTTTCCATACGTAGCTTCCATTCATCATCATGGTGCTCATCAAACAAAGAAGGTCTTCCAATGTGCATTCCAAGCTGTACTGGGGGCTCTATCTCCACAACCCGGTATTCATCAATTACAACATAAAGACTTATAGCCCCATCCTCCTTTTCTTCCTCTTTATCACTTCCACTATCCTTATATGCTGCCAAGAAAGCCCGCTTCATTGCTTCAGTAAATCCTTTTCCTAGGATTTTTCCTTTGTTGGAACCCTTTTCTCTCATCTTCTCATGTTTCTCTTTTTCAGCTCGTTCTTTCCTTCACTCAATTTCCCATATTGGGAAGTCCATGACCATGTGATCTAGATTGCTACACTTGTAGCACCCATCATAGTTACCTTTGTCAATCTACTTAGGCTTACTGCTGGTGTCTCTCTTGGATGCACTTTTGGAGTTCTTCATTAACCTCTTGAACTTGGCAAACATTGCTAGATCAGGATCATCATTGTGAGATTCATCATCGTCAGACGCTTTAAGAACCAAGGTCTTATCCCTCTTTGGTTCTTTGCGTAGTTCTATCTTTCTCATTTCATGAGTCTTTAAGTTTCCAATCAACTCATCAAGTGAGATTTTGTCCAACTCTTTGGCTTCCTGGATTGCAGTAACTTTTGATTCCCATGAAACTGGAAAGATCCTTAGAACTTTACTAACCAACTCTTTTGAGGTAAACACCTTTCCAAGTGATTTCAGTTCATTAGTTATTATAGTAAACCTAGTCATCATATCCTGGATGGGTTCAAACTTCTTCATGAAGAAGAGTTCATAGTTTCTCATAAGTAGCTCTATCATTGATCTCTTCACTTGGTTTGTTCCTTCATGGGCAGTTTGGAGTACATTCCATATCTGCTTTGCATTAGAGCACGCAGAAATTCTATTGTACTCATCAGGATCAAGTCCACAAATAAAGATTTTTTTATCCTTTGTATTCTTCTCCATCATTCTGAAATCTACGGCCACAAATTCAGAGGGATCCTTAGGAACTGTTTTATTTTGTGCATTTTATTTAGTAGGAGCCAATGGACCTTGGTTCACTATGGTACATAGTTCATAGCCTTCAACTGTCATGAAGTCTTCCATTCTTGCTTTCCACCAACTGTAATATTTTTCATTGAACAGGGGTGGCCTGGTAGTAGATTGTCCTTCATTAATTCCGGGTGGAGCACTCATCTTGCTTCCAAGATCTCTCTAGGTGTTAGCCGTGTGTGTTAGAGAACCTACTATGATACTAATTGTTAGTTTGAGTGCCCGTATGAATTACTAAAGAATTTGGTTCTTTACCGTGTTCCTTAAATGTGAAGTAAATAAGCGGTAAAATAAACACAACGATTTTTACGTGAAAAATCACTCAGGCACAAAAGGTGCAAAAATCACGATCTACTACATAGGATTTTCAACTTCAACTCCACTAGAACAATGAGCCAAAAATGTATCAATTACACGACTATAATTTAATACTCTCTAGTACTCCTATTACGACTATTTGATTTACAAGTTACTCTAACTTGTAAAGCAAACACTCATTCCAACTCACGTATTGTTTATGACACTTGATTACAACTCAATTTCCTAAAACACTTTCACTAGACTGACTCAAGAAGAATACACTGCAAGTACTCGACTAGAGTAAACACTTATGACTCTTCAGTTGATGAGTAAAAAGATAATTACAGAAGTCCAAAGTAGATACTACTATTTAAACGCATCAAATTGAGCTCTTCTAGGAGTCCTATTCATAGTGAGCTTCTCCTTTGATAAGATTCCTATTGTTCTAAGGATTCCACAAACTTTGAGACTCTTGTCTCTGACTGAATTATCCGTATCTTCTTGAGTAATAACCTTTATCACATGTAGCAGTCTTCTTCCACCAAACTCGGACCTGGGTAACTTTGAGATAAAGTTAGTGTCTTGTACAGGCGTACAATCATCAACCCGAGGAGCTGGTCCTTTATCTTGAGGAACTGGTTCTTTAGAACAATTAAGCAGCTACATTGAGCACCTAGTTCTTTGAATTATTGCATTTAGACATACTTTGTTAATCATCAAAACCTCAATACTCAACAAAGCTCAGTTTCACAAGTTTAAGACAAAAAAAAAAAATTGTGACATTTTTTATATATGATTCTAAAGTAGTTTTTTTCTTAAACTATATATCCCTTTCATGGGGGGATTGAGAACAGGAAAATGTTGTGTTAGGTTATTCTCGCGGTCTTATCCTCAGTTAAAATTGAACCCGAAAACCTGTCTTATTAGTTCATGACGGTATTAACAAACCAACATCGTAACAAGAAAGTAAAGAGGTGACAATTCAAATTTTAGTCACACAGAAAAGAGATAATCTCTCATTACAGCAGTTTTCCATGGACCATTCTACAAAACAAACAGTGGCCAAAATTCACAATAAACAAAATAACATAAAAATAAAAATCAAAGGATTGGCAGAAGCTAGCCACCATCTTGTATTACATCTATAAGAAATACACAAGAAAAAGAACCACAAAACAAAATGAATAGATAATTATTTCCTCATAAGATACAAACAAGTACAAAGCTAAGCTTCAACTCTTGCTATATCTCATATCATAGTATATACCACCACTTTGATTAAACTGGAATTGTTTGTGCATTATCTGCCTTAGATTCTGTTTCATAATTTTCTTCTTCTCTTTCATTTTCCTTAGACATTTCCTCCAATGATTTTCCTTTGGATTCTGGCACCAAGAATGTAAACAACATTCCAAGTAAATTAACACAACCAAGAACAATAAGTGCATTTTTCACACCTATACCAGTTGGATAACCAGCATCAACCTTTAATGGATCAGTGGATTGAGCTGCATACAAAAATCCAAATGCCCCAACAATTGCTCCAGCTTTTCCAGCTGCTGCTGATATTCCGTGGCACGTTGATCTTAACCTAGCTGGAAAAATCTCCGCGGGTACAACAAATGTTGTTGCATTTGGACCAAAATTCGCGAAGAAAAACGTAAGTGAATACATGATAACAAACCCTATTCTGTTTTCCTTTTGTGTCCAGTGATTATATGGAATGGCTAAAGCAAACATGAAAACTGTCATGAAAAAGAATCCCATTAATTG